CGCTCACGTGTTCTTATGCAAGCTGCTTTCGATTGAAGGGCTGTAAGCATTGTTCCTGCAAAGCTTACGTGTCCTGGTGTTAGATTGGCGTTAAAGTATCCAATTCAGGCACCTGTATGCACCTGGCTGTGCGCTGCACTGCCCTGCCAATGCGAAACACCTACACAGCACTAGCTGTAGCGAGGAACACCCTCTTCTTTTCCTTCCATGCCTCCCTTGACCCGCCAGCGGACGCTCGAAAGCATACTCAGCTGGTGGTCCGATAGCAATCCGCCGGGTCCGACCATCTCCCTCCATGCAGCCTCGAAACCATTGATGAGGTACATGTATCGACGGCAAGCAGCCGACTTCATTGCAAAGACTCAGGGGACTGCTTTTTCACTGGAGCAGATGCATATCTACTCCAGCTATCTGGCATGTTCACTCAGTTCACTTCAAGTCCTTCCGCTGACTGATCGCAGAGTTGCAAATATGTATCGGCTTTCACCAAGAGCATTATTCTCGCCGAAATTCAGACGAGGATAATTCATGAGGAAAGAGCGCCCGCACTCGTGGCGGATTCACTATTGTATCTTGTCCACGAACTATGTGGCTCGCGAGCTGCACAGGTCCGCAGACTGATATGCTGGATACTAGGACAGTTGGCGATTCACCATACAACTGCGGAGGCCGTCATACACATGAATCTCTCCAGCCAGCTAGTATCCCTCTTGAGGTGAGTCCACAGCATCTTAAATTGTTGACCAAGGAGGTTGATTTACAAGCAGTGATCGAGACTCTAAAGTCGTCGAGAATACGTTATGGGCACTGAATTGTGTCGCTACCACCGCTGAGGGCGCGGCAGCCACCGTGAACGCAAATGTATTGGGTGTTGTCATTGAATTCCTCGACTCCTCCGTACCATTCGGAGTCCGGGACTGGACGGCCGAGTTGCTCGGAAAATTGACGCGACATGAGGTGACAAGGGCGGCTGTCCTGCGCGTAACTCCCTGCGCACAGCTGGTATTCCTCTTGCGGTGCGTCTACGATGTTGTTGTCGAACAAGATTTTTATTCAGGACCAGCGATGTAGAGTCCAAAGTCGTCGAAGATGCGGCGAGGGAACTGACCTGGATCGCCGGCTCTGCTGAGGGTGCAGCAGCCGCCGTGAACGCAAATGTATTGGGTGCAATCAATGAATTACTTGACTCCCCTTCTTCGACGACCGGAGTACGCGACTGGGCGTGTCAGTTGGTGACAGAGTTGGGATGGGATGAAACTACGAGGGGCGCAGTTTTCACCATAAACCCGTGCGCGCGACTCGCATCCTTATCGCAGTGGGTATAAGGTCTGCGCCTTGAAAACTGTGTTGATTGTGAACTTCAGTTACAGTGAGGCAGCAAGTCTCGATGTGGTCGCTAGTGCAGCAAGGGCACTAGCTTGTGTCGCGACTTCCGCTGACGGCACAGAGGCCGCCATGGACGCAAATGTGCTAGACTGCGTCACTGCATTGCTTGACTGCCCTCACACCGACGTACGGGCGTGGACATGTCTTTTATTGGCACATTGGGACACAACGGCCTTTACCGTGGACCTCTGCGAGAAACTCGTATCCTTCATGAGGTGAATCCCCACATCCGAATCCAAGTCTGCCACTAATGTGCATCTCCTAGGGATCCAGATCTCCGCGTTCACTCACCGGCCCTGTTGGCTTTGTCCATTATCAGTAAATCTGCTGGTGGCATCGCGGCTATTGCTGGGACTGACATCTTGATGCATGTCTCGAACCTCATGGAGTCCCCAGATCGCATGGTCCAGGTTCGAACCTGGAATCTTTTGAGGAATCTCGCAAGGCCGCGGCCAAAGCTTGGGATTGATCTAGAAAGTTACAAGGAACCCCACGTTGGCGGGACACGCCTTCGCAGCTGGTTGCCTCGTTTATAGCACATCGATAGGAGGTGATCATCGTGCTTGTATCGGCCATCTTGTTGTTCAGCATCTTGCATTTACCTGTTGAATTTCAATGCAACGGTTGATGTTGGACATGCAATGTCGGAAAAATCGAAAACGCCAAATAAGGCCGAATATGGGCGTATAAGGTCAAACAGGCCATCAGGTTTGGACGGCACTTATAAGGTTCAAAAACCCCCGGAAAAGGGCTTGTCAGCCTGACGAACCTGATCAGGCTGACGGGCCTGATAAGGGCATTTTTGTGGCTTTTCGCAAAAGGTTCTGACCAATTTTACATAGCTTTCAGTCACTCAGTGCTATTAACGGGCATCTTCCAGGTGTTCTCTACGATCTGATGCTATGTATAGGATATTTAACTGATGTATACTAAAGACTATGAAATCATTCTCAGCAAACCTGGTTCACGTTGGAAGGGCACCAATCGAGTTTTGCACCTTGTTCGGCCCACCGGTTTACCCTTGTAACGTCTCAATCAAGCTCGTTTGACTTTGCGATTTCATTGTTTTGATGCAACTAGGTGCCGTAGTCACATCGAAAGGTTGTTGACAACACCTGGGTTCATTTTTTTCATTCTTGGGAGGGGGGATCTGACACAGCCTGACCGGTCCTGATATGCTTGACCATTTGACCTGACACGGTCTGATCAGGCCTTACAAGTCCGTCAGGTCTCGTCAGTCCCTGATAAGGCAAAATCGATTTTTCCGACATCACTGGACGAAGTTCTCGTCAGAGCCTGCGGGGACGAAGCCTCTGAGTATTGGCGCAGTTAATTTATATGGGTGAGCGTAGTCAAACCTTAATTGCACAGAGATGAGGGGAAAGATCAGATGGATTATTCATACGTAGGAAATACAGTCTCTTGAATACTGCGAGGCGTAATCATACTGAGTCATACAAAAATATTACTCCACTGTTACATAACGCTCGGGTGGGGGTTCTAGCGGCGGTGCGCGGTTAGGTTCGGAGCAAGCCTGTCTCCGCACCGGCAAGCCGGTGAATCTCGGAGAGAGGCTTGGGCCAAACTGCCAAAAATGGACCATGTGTTCGAGAGTCATTTTCTCAGTCATTTCAGCACAGATTGCCATGGTTTACACTGATAATTTGTTCATTAAATGTCCTTCTATTGATTCAGATGCTCAGATGTAAAATATCTGCTGCTGTTATTGTCCCTCACCCAGGTCTTGAGCGGCAAGTTGCATTTCATGTTCACACCAAATAATCAACATGATTGGGGAATTATATGTATATTATGGGCTCGGTTGATTCATAATGTTATTCTCAACAGGTCCTCCAGCGACTTCTAAGCTGAGAACCCATTTATTCATTGAGGAAACTTTACTTTGTTCTTTCGTGAGGTGTGACATAATCTGTGATGGGTGTGACTTCATCCTTCTCAAGGGTTGAACCCGTCAGCCTGGGAGCAGAAAAATATGTGGTGAATTATTGAGAGGCATCGGGTAACTATTTTCATCCTGAATCAGTGTAGGAAGCTAAGAAACCAGCAATAGAATCTCACGTATGGATGACTAAGCAGATCAAATCTCTTGATTTCTTACTTTCGAGCTACACACTGCAAAATTGTCAATTGTTGGGACAAATAAAATCAATTTAGATATCCTACAATGGCTTGCTATGAAATGGCTAATTCGGATTTGCGACACAAATGGTAAGTGTGGCCAGACAGACACAATTGTGTTTCAGCTGATTTGCCAAGAAACACAAATTGTGTCCTTGATTCTGAAGTACTGAGAGATCCTAAGCAAATTCTGAATATGCCAAAAGACTTTCGTACTTCGAATTCATAATGTGTCAGCTGAGACCGAAGGGCCCAAGGGAATTCCTAAAACAGTAGGGAGCATAGAACACATTGCCCTTTTCCAGCATCTTGGCACAAGCCCCTTCTCAGAATTCCCTGCGAAGCACGTGAAGTCATGTGATGAAGGCGGCTTGTTCCGAACCTAGTGCGCGGTCTTCTACTCCCCAGTTTGACGCTAGCGGATTGCCCGAGATATCGATGCCCGAAAGCAGTGCCAGTAGTCCCATCCGATCGATATCGTACGGCCCAGGCTCGAATCGAACGAACGTCCCTCCGGTATTGAGGGCTCCCAACACAGCACGGTGTGGCACCCGTCACCGGGCCTTCCTCTCATCGTTCTGCAGCGCGGGAAGTAGTAAGCGTCGTAATATCGTTGTTGCTTGGTTGTTGCAACTTGCCACACGGAGTGAGACTATTGTCGAACTCACAGGGAAAATACACTCAGCGCCACTCGATGAGGCTCAAACTTAAAATTCGGCGAACTGCCGGACTCGAGCGTACCCTAGAGAAGTCGCAATCGTTCTCCGCCATTGTTAGAAAATACAAAAACACCTGCCTACATGCCCACGGCCCGGGCTCGAATCGAACGAGTGTCCCTGCGATATTGAAATTGTGCAAGAATATAATGAATCAATGCAGGTGCGGACCATCCGCCACCGGGCCTTCCTCTTACTGTTCTGAATCTGGGAAAGTCGCAATCGTCCTCCGCCATTGTTAGAAAATATAATTTTTTCTTTCCATACGCACTGCCCGGGCTCGAATCGAACGAGCGTCTCTGCAGGATTTACTGAGCACCACAGTTATATAGTGCAGGTGTGGACCATCTGCCACCGGGCCTCTACCTCTGATGTCTGAACCTGGGGAAGTCGTAATCGTTCTCCGCCAGAAAATCTAAAAACACGCTCCTATACGCCAACAGCCTGGGCTCGAATCGAACGAGCGTCCCGGCGATATTGAGGGGACGAGATAATATTAATTAATGCAGCACAATCAACGCAGGTGCGGACCATTTGCCACCGGACCTTGCTCTCACCGTCCTGCAGCGCATGATTTCAAGGCCCATCGCAAGAGTCGAATATCGCAAATGGTTCTGTTCAACACAGATAGTGAAGGTCAGGGAAGGGGTCGCACAATACGCTCGACGCCACTCGATGAGGCTCAAACTTCGGCGAACCGCTGCCTCGAGTGTACTCTAGAGAAGGTGTACTCACAACCAAAAAGACGGTCCAGATTTACGACCCAGGCTCGAATCGAACGAGCGTCTCCTGTGATATTGATTTATTGCATATCGTGCAATCAATGCAGGTGCAGACGATCTGCCACCGGGCCTTGTTCTGACTGTGCTGACGCTCATAAAATCGCTATCGTTCTCGGACCGCAAATAAAAAATCGCTTGGTTATGGCCCGGGCTCGGATTGAACGAGCGTCCCCCACTGGTAGACTCGAATAATCAGATATCATCGAGCGGGGCGGACCATCCGCCACCGGGCCTTGCTTCCATTTTTCTGAACTTGGTGAAGTTGTCGCAGTATCGATGTGCGATTAGACTAGAACAGATATGGTTGAATTTGACTGTGAGGTTGAAGTTGGAGTCTAGAGCGGGAACGCGCCCGGGAGCTAGGAGGTGCATTTGGACAACATTTGGTTGATTTTTTGGTGGAAATCTGGGCGAGTCAAGCAGCAAGCAACGAGGGGATCGAGCTCATCAGAACGATCCGCGCGCCCCCCTTCTGCGACGTAAAGGAAGGCGAAGGAGCGAAGGAGCCGAAGCGAATACGCGATTGAGGTTCGGACCAGGAACCAATTGATGCGCGCCACGCGAGCCGATATTTGCGTGTCTATTTAGCATGGCGGCGCCAAACAAGCGCTCCTTAACGGTCTTTTGCGCTGACGACGCTTGAAGATAGAATCGACGACCGGAATACTCTCGGACCTACAGTAACAGAGGTTCACTAGGACTACTAGGGAAAGGTTCCTAGGGAAGCTGGAAACAACGGGATGTCGCTGCACTCGTCCGCGCTACTAGCGCTAGGCCCGTCCTCGCCGTGACGATCCCGATCCCGGGGCGCTCCATCCCCAAAAAGCCGCCGCCCGCGCAGGCGTCGCTCTTCTCACGTCTCAGCGTCAGCCGCGGGACTCCAGGCGCGCAAGGCCGTGTTCCGAGTGCGATTTGGACGAGCAGGTATGTCTTCCGTCCGTTCGTTGCTCCTACCTCGTCCCCGTTTATCCTGTCTACTCGTTATCCTTGTTATCGTCCTCCCCATCCGTCCCCATTTTTTTCGTATCCATATCATACCCACCTACCCCACCTACGCACCCCGATCCTAACCCATCGAGATCCCGAGATCCCGACCCCGCCGCACGCCCCGCTTCTTGCTTCTCTATCCATACTTTCATCTCGCCCGGTTACCCTTCATTTCGTCGGCGTGCCGGCCCGTCTTTTCTCGGGCACGACGGCACACGAGCATCGGGGCGGTCTTGTGGCGGGTGCTGCTCGTATGCGCGTGTGCGGTCCTGCTCGCTCGTGTGCTATAACCCATTCTCCATCCTCAAGCGCGCAGCTGGCCGTATCTCGTATCCTACTCATTTTCCGGGCATCGATATCGCTACCTCTCCGCATTCCTCGTCTCTTCCCATTCCACCCGCGCCCCGCCCGTCCTAGTCCTCCCCCTTCTCCTCCTCCACCCCGTCCTTCCACTGCCCATCATGTCCCCTCTTATGCCTTGTATCTTACTTATGTCTCGTCCTATGTCTCGTATCCCCCGCTAACCCCCCCCTCCGCAGACACTCAAATCCCTCCTCCACGCGCTCCTCATCCCGCGCACGCTCGCGTTCCTCTCGCTCGCGGCGCCGCGTGCCGCCTCATAGGTCTCCACCCGTTCTGCGTCTGGCCCTGCACCCCGCACCCCCACCCCCACCCCCACCTCCGCGCCCAAGTCCAATCTGGCATCTAGACCCGGCCAGCACGCCCTCCGTTCCCCGCACACGCAGCTCGAAGCGCCGCAATGACGCGCCGCAGGTCTCGGAGCGGCCCGACGCATCTTCCTCCCAGGTCGATGGTACCCCCAACACCCCGGACGCCCCGTGCACGACGACACGTACGACGCGCTCAGCTCCGACACGCGTGTCTGGCGCGCGGCCCGTCCGCCCCCGTCACCCCAAGAGCGGTGGCTCTCGGCGCGCGGCGGGCGGGGATGCGCTGCCAAGGCGGGGTGCGGGTACGGGTATGGATGCAGCCCGGGAAGCGTGTCCGCGTCTGCGATGTCCCTGCAGCTCATCTATGCCTGCCCGCCATCCGCCGAGTCCCGACGCCCCTTCCCCTTGTGTCCTCCTTCGTGCGCACCGACGCAATCGCCCAGCGGCGCGACGGATCTGACTCGCGGCAACACCTGGCGCGCTCGACGCTGTCTACTCCACCACGAGCCGCGGCCTACGCCCCGCATATTCACCCCGCGCCGAGACGACCAGCCCGAATGCTCCGCGCTCGGCGGCCGAATCCGACGGGAGCCCCGCGAGCCGCCCACGCCCCGCATACGCCCTGACACGCACGGTGCTTATCGGGTGCTCGGCGGCGGCGGCGACGACGGTTTGAAGCACGGCTCGTCCGATGAGACCCTTTCCCCTCTGCGCTCCGCGCGAAGTCGCGTCCCGCGTCCTGGTATCCAGTACCCCTCCGCTGGGCGCTTCCATTGCTCGCGTAGGCAGGTCTGCGGTGGGGGTGCGCCTCGAGTCTCGCGCGCCGTCGACGCCCTTCACGACGAGCTAGAGCCGGGCTCCATGCTACGACGCCTGCGCGCAGGTAGACGATACCAGCGGTGGTGCGGCGGTGGTGCGCCTCGCGTCGACGGCTGCGACGAGCTGGAGTACTAGTACTTCAAAAGCGCCGAGAGTGGTCGCGCACGTGGCCCGTAGCCCGCGTCGTATCCTTCTATCCCCTTCTATCCCTCTGCCTCTCGTCACATGTTAGGGTAGAATTGCTCGCTTCGCTCGCAATGGCGGTCAGCCACGCCCTCCATTCCGGCTTGTCCCCTAGCCCTATCGTGGAGCCTTCGCCTGCCGATTTCCTATGTCCTGATGTTACGGATCCATCCTTCTCACACAGTATCAAGGTAACACAATTTTCATTGGATTTCGCGCTTGCAAAAAAGCCAGAATCTTTCCTCTCCAGACCGAGTTTCACGCTGCGTCCAACGACCAGCACCGCCCTAACTCAGTTCCCACATGAACCTCCGCACGGGCCCGTGTTGGGGTCGCCAAAGAACCGGAATGGCGCCCCACTGACCTGCCCCCAGCCGCCCTACACGCGTCTTTAACATAGGCGGGTGAATAATACACGGGCCACCTACCAACGGGCACGTCGCGTTCACGCTCGTAAGAGCATTCTCGCAGTTAGTCACGCTAATGCTGTTGCTGACATTGTGTGTGTTCAATGCGGTGAAGTCGCCTGTTGTCCACCGTCAGCGTTTCCGGGCGTCAACAAGCTGGATAAAATATAGCGACGCACACTTCAAGGTCGCCGTCGACGCGGTGAAGCAGCGCTGGGCGCTATCGCCTGGCGCAATCTGTGTGCGGGGTCCAACACATCCGTCAGTACTGAGACTTTGGCTGCGGAAGAGACAGGGCTCACCACTTCACTTGCAATGGATGTGCAGAACGTCGTAATGAAGTCCGCGCAGGAGCCCATTGTGCCGCCAGGGTTGCAAACAGTGTCCAGCTGCCCGAGAGAAGGGGTGATGAGGAGCGCGAGCGCCGCGAGATTCAACGCAAAGGACTGGCAGAACGAGTTCGTGAGCGCGCAAAATCGGTCGGAGAGATAGGGGTTGTTCACCTTGTAAACCATGGTACTCCTTGGTAGGTAAGGCCTGAGCTCCCCCCCACACTTTTATATCAATGAGGAGGAGGATCCCAATTGGGGACTAGGTCCGTTGGCGCGATGCGCGCTATTCCCCACTTCATTCTCTGTGTCAAAACCCCCAATGATCCCCAGGCATCGTCCTGTTACGGGCAGTTTTGATGGAATATTTACGATAATAGCATTCCCCCTTTCATTCGAGCTCTCTGATTAACCTTGAACCCGACAGGGACCCTAGCAGAGTTACGCAATGCCGAACTTGTGACAAAGATTCAAGATGTTCCTTTTTGAAGACTTAATATCAAGTGGAGCCTGCTATTTAGTATAGTGCCAAATATCTCGGCTTTTTGACATGAGAATGAAGTGAAGAATGGCGCGCAGTACATCGTCGGAACTATTTCTCCCCGGTGAATCCACACTTTGTCCCTATAAAAGCGCAGAGTGAATGCACAAAGTTCAACAAGGCCCCAGTCTAGCTTTCTGTCGCTCACTACCTACCAAGTCGTACCATGGTATACAAGGTGAACATTTTCTTGTTCGCAGATTCCGTGAACTCAACCGTTGCTGCAAGTCCGCGGCGCTCACTGCGCTCGCACTCCTGATCATGCCTGCCCTCGGACAAATAAGCACTACGTGCTTCGCTAATAACTCAGCTGGCAACGCAACCGAGGGCTCTTGCGCGAACTTCATCACGACGTTCTGTACATCTATCGCAAGCCAAGTGGTGAGTCTTGTCCTCCAGACGCAGGCAAATGGCAACATTAACGGATGTATGGGCAGATAGCGCCAGGAGACACCGCCGCGCGCTGCTTTATGACGCCGACGGCGAACTTGAAGTGTGCGTATCTAGACTCAGATATGATCCCATGGGGTGAAACCGAGTATGCTAACTGCCGATCCCAGGCGACCTTACTGCAATTAATTTGGCCACGACTAGCACCAGCATCAGCGTGGCAGGCTGCGAAGCGGTGCTCACGAGCGTGAACACGCAGTGCCCGTTGTTGGTACGTGCCCGCGCCGGTGCGGAGGGTCTGTTGTTTCACCTGCCATGCTGACTACGTGCGCCCAGGGTGGATTCGGCCGTGCAACCGGCGGAGATTTCCGTTTCTACGGAGACCCCAACACGGGCGTGTGTGGACCTGTGTGTGGCAACTAAGATAGGGAGATGCTGGCTGCGGGAACAGCGCAGAAAGCCTCGTCTTCATCAGAGATGTGCAGAGAAGCAGTCTGTTGAATTGGCGTTTGGAAAATTGCGAAATACAATGACAGCTGTCTTAGCTTGATTCCGGATTACAATAGAGGACGCTCGGAAGCAAGATCTGGTGGTGCCCACGTCGCATACCTAACCCTGTTGTAAAAGGTCTCCTCAACGTGCCACGCCGACCATGATCGAGTCAATCACTTCCGTCCAGCAGAGACGTACGAAGGAAGACTAGCAAGCAGCGAGGGCATCGAGCTCAGAACAATCCGCGTGCCC